TGGCGCGCGCGCGGCGACGTGCGGGGGAATGTGAACCCCTGCGGGAACTTTAAAAAGGTGACCCCTTCCGCCCGGGGGGGGGGAAGGAGTGAGCGGTGGCAAGCAGGAGGGGAGGACAGCGTGCAGAGGAAGGGGAGAGCAGGGGGAAAAGCCCCCCCCCTTCCGGGAGAAACGGATTCGCAAAGCCAGAAATGTCTGCTTTTTTGGCATCCAGGAAACAATTTCACCATTCACACTAATACAGGTGTTCATGTGTAGTGTATCAATGTGTTATTAAATAACTGAATAAAATAATATTAAATAAATAATTAAAAACAACATCCATGTTTTGATTGTTTTTTATTTGGACCTCAAGTGTGTAGTTGGCCCCCGAACTGCTGTTTGATAGTTAATGCGGCCCTCGGGCTGAAAAGTTTGGAGACCCCTGCTCTAGAAGACTGAAGACTCTAGAAGGTTTATACAGAGAAGCTCTGCATAATTCCCTAGCTGAAATTGGGCTTCACTGAGAAAGAAAGTGACAATTTAAAGCAGGGCTATTCAAATATATATGCAAATAGCTTCCTTCACACTGATGGGCATGAATACAAAGATTAAGGCAAGACTACACAACACACAGGCCCCATTTAAGTGAGTTCTGCAGATATTAATAAAATGCAATATTACCCAATTTTCACCCATATGATAGCATTTTTAATGAGCAATGACAGTCCAGGAATTTAACTACTAAAACGCATATCAACAGAAGACCATTATACTGACTCGTCGTTGTGGAGTGTGTTCCCAGTGTAGGCCGTGTTCAAAGGATCCCACCCTGCAGGCCACATGTTGAGCCCCGCGTAAACCCAAATCGCACCGTGGGCCACAAACAAACGTGTTGTGTAGCCCTGATTTAAAGATTCATTCATTGCCTCAATTAAAAGTGAATAAAACTCCCAGTCTACATCTTTGCATCATCCAAGAACTTTGCCAGCTGACTTATATTTCTGAGTTAAGAAGAAAAAAAAAACCAGGAAAATCATAATTAGCAAAAATGGTACAAAGCTCACACACTAAAAAAAATGACTTACCCTTTCATAACTTATTCTTCAAGATGTGTTTCATATAGCCATTAGATGGACATGTATAGCCATAGTGGTGGCCCACCCACCCTGGCTCTTCATGCTCTGGATGGAGAATATAAAGGGCAGAGTCATCCTGAAACTCCTTCAGTTTCTTCACACCAAAATTCCAAAGATAGACTGATGCTTTGGAGGAAGAAGGTGGAGCAACACATCTCAATGAACACATCCCAATGAACAGCAGTTCTTCAAGTTATTGGATGTGTCCATTATATTGTGATTCCCAAATTATTATGAAGGTGATAGAGCAGGATATGAGCAAAGAAGCCTTGCGACAAAGCTAGAGCTTTAGTGGAGTAGGCCTTGATCAACATAGGGAAAGGCTGGTGATATTGTGGTGGGGGAAAGGATAGTCAGTGACTTCAGGCTCTAAATTTTACATCCCTAATTCCAAAGGAAACTAAAAATATGTTTTTTCTGGAAATAACTGAAGAAAGAGCTGATGAAAGACAGTTTAACTAAGTCAGTCACCATCTGATCATTAAAATAAGTGTCTTAAAGGAAAGCAATAGTGAGTCTTTGGGACTCATCTTGAATACTAATAGAAAAATGTCCAAAACACCCTGGAGTGAGAGAGATAAGGCACTAATACCTCAGATACCAATGGGCCGTTCTTAGCTGCTTGCATAGAAAGTGCTACGAGCTGTGATGCGTGGAATGTATGAGCAAACCCACTATGAAATTATTTAGATTAATATGTGCAAATTTATTAATGTATTCTTGAATCAAATTAGCTTCAGGAAGCAGCCAGTAGGAAGCTGTCCATCCTGTTAAGTTTTCGCTCTCTCATTTATCTCTACAATCATACAGGTGCTGACTGGAAACTGAATGCTGCACATTTTTGCATAAATAGTCCATGAACCATCTTAGGTTTGGTCAACATTACAAACTTGTGTCAGTCCACACCCCTACAGAACATAATTATACCAACTTAATTAATTCACCTCTCTGAAAGGTGGGTTAAGACAATTGGAGAGTGCTTTCGCATTGGCTAAGAGCATCTTCATTAATGAGCTATAGCAGCACAGCTGGCTGCATTAGTAAAGCTGAATCAATACAATGTTTTAAGTGTAGATATGCCCCTGAGTAGACTATACAGGGAAGTTGTCATTAGTGCAGTGAGACCTTGTCAGTTGTGGGTAGGAGAACTGCATGAGAAAAGTACATTATTATTTGAATAAATAGCCTCAATAAATAGTACCTAATTAGGATGTGTTTCCCCACATTTATATCCATAACTTTTAGGCTTTGTTCATCCACGACTGTACCATACTATTATGAAATAAGCATCCATTTCTCTTCAAGAAAACTTGGACTAAATGTCAGTATTGGAAACAGTTGGAGGACTATATGTGACCTTGGAGAAGATAACTAAGCAGTTCTCAGGTACTAAAAAATATGGGCATTATTCAACAGATTAAGGGCTAAATCCTGCTCCTGGATGGGTATGCATATAATAATACACTTAGGGCCAGTTTCTTTATGGGAAAAAATGAGGAAGAAATTTGGCAGAGTGGAATTCAGCTACACCAATGACATTAGTTGGTATTACCCCTGTGTATCGCAACTGGCACTGATGCCCATCAGTCTTGAATCAGAAAGCAACAATAGCTCCCTCTGACCCCACCTCTTCATTCCAGTTGAGTGGAACCTTAGATGAAGTGGAGAATCAAGGCCCCTCCACTTCAGTATGAGCCATGTGTGTATATCCAAGGGAAGATTTTGGCCTTTTTACAATATATTAATTATTTTCTACAAGTTTAAACTAAGTATAAATATAGAACAAATCTTTGCATTGCTTCAGATTTATGAAACCAGTAATAAACATACATATGTTGACCAAACACATGTACACATCAGCACAGAGTACTAGTGTTAAAAATGCCCATGCAAGTAACTTTTGGTTTCACCATTGTCCCTTCTAGAAGCGTGGGTGTCACAAATAGAAGCACTTCTAACTGAAGACATCATCATATCCGTTATGTTTTGTTTGGGACTTTCTTCTAAGTCTGTTTTTATTGCTCCAACTTGTGCTAATTTCCATTCAAGCTCTGTAACAACAAAATGATTTAAAACAGAATAGAAAAAAATTAACAATATGCATTTTTCATACAGTGTGCTTCGGGACCTGTACAAGCAGCTGCTTGTAAATGTCTCCAATACAAGTTGTGAGACAGCTACAAAACCACTCAGCAACTTCTCCACTCCTTCCTTATCACAGGCTCTTCCTTCTAGTACTGCTTGTGCTTGCTCCTCCTCAATCCTCTGCAGAGCTCCCTTTGTCCTCTCAGCTCCCCACAAGCTCTGTTTAACCAGTTTCAACTGGTTCTTTAATTGGCCCCAGGTGTTCCAATTAGTTTTGGCTTGACTCTTTAAACCCACTTAATTAGCTCCATGTGCTTAATTGCCCTGATTTATTCTGGTGAGTTCCCACTGGTTTTGGACTAGCCTCTGACAGTTTACCTTGGGAAAAGAAACTTATTTAATCTAAGACTAATATATCTCTTTTCTGTAACTCTCTTGTACCCCTCTGGCCTGACCCTGTCAAATCTTCTAAAGTGACATGGGTAGTTGGTGAAGATAGGGCTAGGGGAGGCAATCTCCCCACCTAGGCCCACCGACCCTCTGCCTTGCCTCTCCCCCTTCCCCTGCCCCGTCAGGCAGGGCACTACTCAGCCAGGCTGAAGGCTCCAGTTAGCCAGACAGGGCAGCTCCACTTCAGCTGAAGTTCTGCACTGAGCTGCAAGGGGACCGGGTTTGGTCAAATATCGTACAGATCCTCTGGACCAGCAGTTGGCAAGCCTCATTTGTTTTAGTGTTAAAAACAATCCATCCTCCTGGGATTAGGATGCCTAAAGCCTTGTAGCAACTGACGGACTTGGGTCCACCGTTTTTCTGATGACAAGGAAAGTCTCACTAGAGTCTTAATTTACTTCTTCAAAGGATGCTCTTATTAGTTTTTAGCCTTCATTGTTTACATTTGTAAATGGTGCAGATGGAGGACTGAATGCTATTTAACTTAGATTTTAATAGTGAATCATCATCAAGAATATGTTTCTAATATAAACTCTTCTGGTTTTTATTGTGATTTTGTAATGATAATTTTTGGGTCAACATTTTTGTTTTTCCAAAGCAGCAATTTATTCCTTACAGTTATTTGATTTAAAGGGTGACTGACTTTCTGGATTGGGTGTCAACATTTTCTTTGATCTGACAATAAGATGCCCTTTGTGAATTTATTTCGATTCTCTGGGCAGCACTTTAGTGCTTTTTCATGTCACCACTTGTGTATATAACTATTCACTAAAGACCAGGTTGAAAGCACCTAGATGCTTTTGAAAATCCCACTAGTTACCTAAATATCTTTTAAAATCTGGCCTAAGGATAGTATCAGCAGCATCTAACACAGTCTGCAAAGCTGTTCTGGCAATCATGTGACCCTCAGATGTCAGTGCTTTGAACTGATGTCTTTTTTTCCTGAGAACTGTCCGCAATAAATTCATGGAGTTTGGTGGTTTCTGTAGTCATATTTACATAATAAAGAAGCATAATTGGAAATACAAAATTGTGAAGTGGAGGATATGTAAACTTTGTCAGAATGAATCAAGTCTCTTGCTATCATGGTCCGCTGGGATGGACCAGAATTGTTGCTGTTTAGTTTTGTTGTACAGCTTCCTCTATGAGAGAGTTAGGTGTTGGGTGGGTGAAAAGAAACTCAGAGTCCTTGGGCAAAATGTAGTATTTCTTGTCTGCTCTTTTGGAAGTAGGAGTGGTTGATGCCAGGATTTGCCACACCATCTTTGCATCCATTATTTCTGGATTAATTGGTAGTGCAATTTTAGACAGTGTTACTGAGTGGATTTTGTCCATTAATTCATGCTGATTTTCGGTGACCTTCTGGAGGAGGATATTTAATTCAGTAGCCGCACATTTAAAAAGATCTAAATATGTCCAAAGTCATCTGAGGTAGTTGGAGGCACATGATGTGCTGGAGCAGGTTCGTTTGACTCCAAGTGTAGGTCTGTAACTTGGATGGGTGGTTCCTATTGCTGTGTTGCTTCATAGGTGGGGAATGTGGTGACGGGAAATATAGCACTAAATGTCGTTTCTGGCTATGGTGGTGGTTTTTTGTGAGGTTGCCAGTTCAAATATTGCCACTGTGGGTATGGCATAAGTGGAGATACCCAGGGATTGCCATACCATGAAGAAAAGTTCCCATAATTAAAGCATGATCTGGAAGCGTAAATAAACTGATGGGGGGGGAGAGAGTTTTCTGGAGAGAACCCCACATAAAGGTCGTCTTTAAATTTGTATGAAAAACTTTCCTGAGATGTCATTTGTGATGTTAACATAGCAGGAGAATGTTCAGATCTGAGAAATGGTGAATTGAATGTGGAAGAGACTTACTAGTCTGCATGTTGCTGTCACGGAGTGTGGGGGAGTCACCAGGCCCTGCACCCCCATCTGCAGCCAGATGCAACTCTCAGGCAGCAGATAGAATAGAAAGTTTATTCGTGGACAGGGACACAGCGTAGCATAGGATTGATGTTAACACTGGAACAAAGAGCAGCTAGCATTGTTCCTCTTGGGAAAAGGGATCCCGGGCCCTTCTCCCCACTTTTCCTGCTCTAAGCCCCTTCTCTCATCCTAACCCAGCTGAGACTGACTCATTCCCCAGGACCTAATCCCCAGCCTGGTGTCAGCCCCACCTACCCTTTGTCTCCCTCCTGGGCAGGGCCGGACGGAGGCATGGGCGAGCCGGGCAACTGCCAACCGATGGGGGGCACCTGATGGCAGCTGTAAGGGGCACGAGGCGTCCCTTACAGCTGCCATCAGGAGCTGTGCGCCCAGCTCCCGTGGCGCCAGCCCTGCGGCTCCAGCCCAGCAGAGCCCTTCCCCCCATGGCCGAGGGGCCCTACACGGCCCAGCGCGCGCTAGCAGCGCCGGCCAGCACATGTGTCATGCGCCCCGGGGGCGGGCCCCGGACTGCGCGCCAGTGGCTGTGGCCGGCCCGCACATGTGCCATGCGTCCCGGGGGGGGGCGCGCTCCCCGGGGGGGGGGCGGGCCAACGCATGCACCGTGTGCTCCGGGGAGGTGCTGTGCACCCGGGCTCAGGGCGCCAAAAGGGCTCGGGCCGGCCCTGCTCCTGGGCAGGAGTTATCTCCTATGTTTGGCCCTCAGGAGTGAGAGACCAAATACACTTTTGTAGTGAGTCATCCCCCTTCCTTCAAACAATGTTGCTGTGCCCAAAACCCATAGGAACCACACACAGTATAAAGCAACACAGCAATACAATCCTCTCTACGTCACAGTTGCTTATATTGCTGAGCTGGCATTGACGGTGCCATAGTAGGAAGCACTGGTGCATTTGAGGCATAATCCAATGCCGAGCGGACTAGAGCCATGCTAGGTACCTCTGTAGTGTAAATGTTGGTGCCAGGTAATATGGCTGGTACTGTGCTCTCATGCTGCATCGGCAAAGTCATATCAGTTGTTCCAGCTGATGAGGCAGGCAACTTAAGGTCTGATGCCTCAGAGTGGGATATTGAGCGCCCCACTTTGCTAGTTGCGCTAGTGGCTCCTGAGACGCTGGGAGCATCATAAGTGCTTAGGCGTGGTGCCACTGCCTGTCTCGGCACTGGCTATTTGGGAGACTGTCACTTTGGTGCCAGCTCTCCTGAGGCAAGGATGAGGCTCGCTTTTTGGCAGGCTTTTTGCCTCCGCCTTATTTCTGTTCCTCGGGCTGTTGACCCATGTCTGAGAGATTTCTCAAGGAGAATTAACTTGAGATGCGGGTCTCTGTCTTGTCAAGCCTGCGACTTCATTTTTGCACAATACAGGCATTTTTGAGCAACTTGTGCCTCTACAAGGTAGTGGACACATTGTGTGTGCCTGTCCGTGAAGGAGATAGGATTTTTGGATGTAGAGCAGCACTTGAAACCCAGTAAGCCAGGCATGGTGCCAAACAGCTATCTAACCACAGGTGAGGAGATAAACTGGGAGAAAAACTACTGTATTCCAGGGTTTGTTTTGTTGTTGTTTTTTTTTTTAACTGAAGTAGGCTACCGAGGAATCAACTAGGGAGAAAAAAATTGGTTTTAAAAGGGATTATTATCTAAAACGTGAATGAGATAGGGAGCACTGATAATTTCTGTCTCTGGCTGAAGGCGGGAAAGAAGGAACTGAGGATGGGGTGGGTTCACACATGTGTGATGCCTGCCACCTAGAAACATGCAGATGCCGATGAATGCATGTGCACCCCAGGCTCACTTCTCTAAAATCTGATCAATGGCTCAGTAGCGGCATACTGACCTAATGTGGAACTCCCACAAGGACATCCGTCAAAGAAGGAAGAATTGGTTGTTCCCTCCCCTCCCACCCCCCATATTTGGTGCTTGGCATATACTGAGCATGCTCAGTAACACTGCTGAAATCACTGTCCTCAATCTGCCTCCCATGCTCTCTCTCTCTCTCCCCGCCTCCTTCAACCCCTCACAGCATGCACAAGTCCCCTGCCCCATATTCAAATCTGAAATGGCGCCCCTGTTCCATCTCCCAAAGTATCCATATGCAAGTACATTTCTATAATATTCAATACCATTTTGGACTTCTAGCAACAGCCCCTCCACACACACACTAATTGAAAATTTGTTACAGGTTCTTGCTTATGTAAGTAATTCCTCATCATGCAAACATTGAAACACATACTTTATTACTTCATTTGTTGCATACATCTTTTTTCCTTTTAATTTTATATGCTGTTGTACGCTACATATTTTTTTGGGTATATTTCAGTGGCGTGTCTACACAGCACCAAATTTCAGAAAAAAGTGCTCTTTTGACACATCTCTTATTCCTTGTAGAATGAGGTTTAAAGGGATGGCGAAAGAGCGCATCCACTTTTTCAAAAAACTTTTCAGAAAAGTGGACATGTTCCTTGGACGCAACATTACTTTTCCAGAGGTATCCCAGAAAAGCAATGCAGTCTAAACGTAGCCTTAGTTTACTATTTTGTAATGCCAAAATCAAAGAATTTTTTTAATGAATTATTCTATGACTCCTTTGCATTGTTGAGGGGGGGAGTACAACACTTCTCTCCCCTACTCTTGGTAAAAGTACAGTGTCCTGTCTCCAGTATGTTTTTACAATGGAATAGCAAATGCATGTTAGTTACTCTGTGGCAAAAACACAAATTTTCATAGCACTGGGGAGCAGTATTATGAGAATACATTAAAAGAATGTGATTTGCTCAGCTATTATGGTAATGGGGGCCATATAAGTACCTACAATGTAGAGACAGAATAGTGTTGCAATAGCCACAGAGTATATATTAATGAACTTGGATAGTTTACAAAAAGACAAAAATGTTTGTCAAGTGACATCTTACTCCTCAGATCGTCATACAGGCAATGAGGTTTTCTCCTAGTAGGGTCACAAAGCCCTGTGTGAAATGGGATAGTATAGGGGAAAGGCTCCTGTATAACCTGGTCTCATGGAAATGGGCTGGGGACTCACACCTAACAAAGAAGATATATCCTTTTTTAGATCAAATCCTCCCCATAGCAAAGATCAGATGTTACACATGTACCATCCGTACCCACTTTATGTATAGCATTGCAAGCTATCAATAAGATATTTGTGCTACAGTAGAAATACATAAGCTTTATTAACAGCTAATTCCTAATGTTTCCTATTTAGTGCACAAAAACACTATAAAAGACTTTTACCCCAAGAAGTGATCTTATAAATTAGTAATTATTAACTACATTAAGATTACTATAAAATTATGTTGAACATATTTGATATATTACCTTCTATTCTAAGATTTGTCCCTCCACATTCAGTAACTCCAATGAACTTGCCTTTTATCTGACCATTTCTGTACACAAAAATTGTGGGTAAACATCTGTCATGGTAGTTTTGAATACAGCTATTCACAATGGCTTTGACAAACTTTATTTCTGGAAACTTTCTGGCTAGCAGGCTGAGATGCTGATTAACTAATGAACACATTGGGATGCTAGAAAAGAATGGATAGGTTTGATGAAAGTTCTGACAATAGTAGGTAGCAGTCAATAAAATACTAGAACCTATTCAAATAACCTTTTAAGAAATGACTGATATTACACTCCACATTTTTATGAAAATATGCATATGATATGAATATGACATAACTAAGAAATGTTTTATGTAAGATAGCTCAAAAAAGATATCACTGGAAAGGTTATGGTTTACTGAATAAGATTATCCTATTTAAATGCATGCATTATTTTTGTATCTGAAATTAGAAATATTAACCATGTATCTGTATTTCATCTATGGTACTTTGGGTGACATCCACCATTAATTCTTCAGGTTCAACAGTGGAAAAGATGGCCCAACAGTGAGGACAATGCATTGACAAAAGGCAAGACCTTCCTGCAGACCATCACTGACTCGTGGACACGAGATGTTACACGGTCAGGTGATCTGGTCATCAGATACTAACCTCCATCTTAGACTGCTGAACTGTTCCACTGGGAAGTGGTAGAATCAAACAATGATTTCCCATTTTATGGAAGTGCTATATAAGGTGGGGAAGGAAAACAATCAAGGTGTTCAGTTTGCTTTTCTTCCGCCACCCTACTGAAAGAGATACATGAAAACATCTGGAAACAAAAGGACTGAAGGGGCAGGGGAGTGCAATGGCTGGACCCAAGCTAGAAAGATACCTGTATTGTGAAGGAATCTATCTATATCAATATCTAGTGTGAGGAATTATTATTTGTAACCAGTTTCTTTAGTTAATCTAGCTTAGCATGATGTGCTTTGCTTTATTTTCTTAAGAGTGCGTCTACATAGCAGGGCTTAATTCGAAATAATCTACCCAAACTGAGCTAAACTGAGCTACATCAATTGCGTAACTTATTTCAAAATAGCTTATTTCAAAATTGGGAGTGTCTACACAGCACTTATTTCAAAATAGAGCACTCTTCCTCCAACTTCCCTTACTCCTTGTACAAGGAGGGTTACAAGAGACAAAGTAAGAAGTCCTCCAGCTGAACAGTATTTTCACATTATTTCAAAATTACTGCCTGCTGTGTAGACGCAGAAAAGTTATTTCAAAATAATGTTGCTGTGTAGACGTATCCTTAGTAATGTGTTTTGTTCTGTTTGCTACCTCTTTAATCACTTCACATTCACCTTTTGTACAGTTGCCTGATCTAAGATTGCTTATTAATTTCCAATCACCACCTTTACGGTTGACAGGTCCTTTGTCCCAGGATCAAGCCCAGTGTTTGATTATTCTATGGATGGGAACCCTGATGTGCTCAGATGTGACACTTATACTACAGGAACTCTTGTATATTTGCAAATATAGTTTATTAATATGTTTAGCAGAGTCATAAACACTCCAATTTCATGTGATCAATAGGGAATGTACATTTATATTTACATACCATATACTCACACCATTTCTTCTTGAACAACCCAAAGTGTTGGCCATCATCTTCCTCATCACTAGCACCTTCCCCCTCAGGGAGTTGTGAGGTTTTGGAAAATAGGTGGGAAGGTAGATGGGTTCATTGAGATAAAAGTCCGATATAACTTTAGAAAGGAACTTGGGATGAGGTCTGAGGATGATTTTATCCTTGGTAAAAATTGTATACAGAAGTTGAACCATCAGGGCTGCTATTTCACTTACCCTTCTCACAGAAGTAACTGCCACTATGAAGGCCAGCTAGATGTTGTGGGAAGACAGTGGCTAGTGGGTCAAAGGGAGAGATCCTCCCCCTCCACCACCATGCCGTCCTCCACACTGCAGCCCAGAGAATACTGGGTAAACTCCAGTCTGGATTGGGAAGCTGGTTGGGTCCCCCCAAGGATCACATGCAGCTGGTCACAGAAGCAGCTTGTTTTCAGAGATGCATCAGACTGTCCATTTGCCTCCTTTGTCTTGTGGTAGGACTGCCTCAGCTCCTTTATTTTAACTCAAAACTGCTGGGAATCCCTGGAGTATCCCTTCTCCACCAGATACTTTGCTATCTTTGCATAGATATAGTTTCTTTTGCTGTTTCGGAGCTCCGAGAGAATGGATTCCTCTCCCCACATGTTGATGAGGTCTCAGATCTCCTGAACACTTCATGCCGGCACTCTTTTGCATCCCTAGGAACTGGAGCTCATGGTTCATGAACTCCTGGATGTCACGGTTGTCACAGAACAGGTCCTTTTGACCACGGCCTCGCGTGCGCATTGCCCATTCTGCCACACAAAGAGCCCTCACAGAAAATGTAGGCCGCTGACACACTCTGAGAAAGCATAACTTGTAAGTGCACAATGCAGCTTTCTGTGAACGGAATTTAACCTTGTAGGCATCTGAGTACAGGGAAGTGAGCATGAAAAGATAGAGCACAGCTGCAAGAGATAAATAAGACTCTCTTGACCGGTCCTTGAAGGTAGGGAGGTAGGAAGAGGAAGATAAGACAACTGCCATGCACACTGACCATGTCTGTACCCGGCACTGTCCACGGGGCCATCAGGCGGACGTCATGAAAAATCCTATAGGGCAATATTGCACATTACCTCATTACCAGCCTATCAGGCCCAGCCAGGGAACAGACCCTAATAATGTACCGGATATCAGGTTATGTTATAAAAGACCCTCGACCCCGTAAAAATTGTATACAGAAGTTGAACCATCAGGGCTGCTATTTCACTTACCCTTCTCACAGAAGTAACTGCCACTATGAAGGCCAGCTAGATGTTGTGGGAAGACAGTGGCTAGTGGGTCAAAGGGAGAGATCCTCCCCCTCCACCACCATGCCGTCCTCCACACTGCAGCCCAGAGAATACTGGGTAAACTCCAGTCTGGATTGGGAAGCTGGTTGGGTCCCCCCAAGGATCACATGCAGCTGGTCACAGAAGCAGCTTGTTTTCAGAGATGCATCAGACTGTCCATTTGCCTCCTTTGTCTTGTGGTAGGACTGCCTCAGCTCCTTTATTTTAACTCAAAACTGCTGGGAATCCCTGGAGTATCCCTTCTCCACCAGATACTTTGCTATCTTTGCATAGATATAGTTTCTTTTGCTGTTTCGGAGCTCCGAGAGAATGGATTCCTCTCCCCACATGTTGATGAGGTCTCAGATCTCCTGAACACTTCATGCCGGCACTCTTTTGCATCCCTAGGAACTGGAGCTCATGGTTCATGAACTCCTGGATGTCACGGTTGTCACAGAACAGGTCCTTTTGACCACGGCCTCGCGTGCGCATTGCCCATTCTGCCACACAAAGAGCCCTCACAGAAAATGTAGGCCGCTGACACACTCTGAGAAAGCATAACTTGTAAGTGCACAATGCAGCTTTCTGTGAACGGAATTTAACCTTGTAGGCATCTGAGTACAGGGAAGTGAGCATGAAAAGATAGAGCACAGCTGCAAGAGATAAATAAGACTCTCTTGACCGGTCCTTGAAGGTAGGGAGGTAGGAAGAGGAAGATAAGACAACTGCCATGCACACTGACCATGTCTGTACCCGGCACTGTCCACGGGGCCATCAGGCGGACGTCATGAAAAATCCTATAGGGCAATATTGCACATTACCTCATTACCAGCCTATCAGGCCCAGCCAGGGAACAGACCCTAATAATGTACCGGATATCAGGTTATGTTATAAAAGACCCTCGACCCCTTTGTTTAGGGAGGTTCCGTGTATTGAGGGCAAGTCCTAGTGTATCTTTACGCTGTTATCGTTGCTGGATTTGTAAGTATTGCTTAAATATATTAGTTATTGGTTTAGTTAATATTTGAATCATGTTAATTTCATTGTGTAATTCTGTAGAGTGTAACTGAGTTCTATTAACCACACTGTGTAAATTGTATAATCTTGTGTTATGTAGTGGTGTTGTATTTAGGCCAAGTATAAGTGTTAGAAACAGAAACCCAGGAGTTGTTAAGTTGTAGAGGCAGATTAATGACTAACTCCACCAGCTGCTCTAAAATAACCATAGAGGGGCTGGCTGTGGACGGAGTTTTTATTATCATTATATTGGCTTTGGTTTTGTATTTTTTGCTTGCATGCTGCGCTGCCTTAAGCGAATTAGAGATAGTAATGTAATATAATCAAATTATAATCATAAAGTTTGTAATCAGTTGAGTGCAGTTTGGTTCAGTTTTCCCCTCCTGTAAAAGCATTAGGCAATTGCTTGATTTAAAATTCATTTAAAAGTCACTTGATTTTTTATAAAAGAACCATTCTGTTTAATAAAAAAATAATTTGTTTCACCATCATCCAGTAGTTTTCACTGGGTAGGCGGCTTTAACCCCTGGGGGCTCCCATCACATCACTGAACCGAGTTGCGAAAATGGTCATGTGTGCTGCCTGCTCTGAGGTATGCTCTCAACGCTGGCCACGTGATAAATGAAATTCAAACTTTCCCAGGGATTTTCCTGTTCACCTGGAGAACAGTAGAGACACAAGTTCTGCAAAGAGCAGGGCACTGTGTCATGCCTCCTGGAGGCCAAGAACTTCAACTTTCTCTACGTTGGGGCTACGCTACCAGGAATTCAACCATTACAGGTTGAATTTTATGTTACTCATTATGAAAAGCAGAAGTACTAAAATCAATTTCAATGGCCCTTAAAGTCATAGCCCTTGGTAGTGTGGATCTCTGTTTAGAAAATTAACTAAACAGCTAAATTTGATCTAAACTAGTGTAGACCAGGCCTTAGAGAGGAACCCAGAGGAGGGCTGCAGAAGAACTCTGCCCTCCAGCACATTTCATGTCTGCCAATAGTACATAGCAAGAAGGATCTTTTGCATTATCTTTGTGAGAGTCAAAAGTGAAGAAATCCTATGTACTGCACTGATGGAGCAAGGAAGA